CCGGGCTCCCCTGGATCACCCCAGCGCTGGCTCTGACCCCCCTGGACCCCTCAGCCCAGTCTTGGAACCCGAGACCCACTCAGCCCCATCCTGGACCCCCGGGATGCACTGGGATGCCCTTCAGCCCTGGCTTGGACCCCCCTGGGACCCTCTGGCACGTCCCCAGACACTCTGGTCTCCCTGGGAACCCCCCAGCCCAGACTCTCCCAGGACCCCTGGCCAAACACCCACGCCCTGCTCCCCCAGCGCCCCTCGCTGCGGGAGGGCTCCACGACGATCATCGCCAATGACCGCGGGCACCTGCTCCCCGACATGCCCCGCTCCCAGGTAAGCCAGACCCACAGCACCCATCGGGGGGCTGGAGGTAGACCCTCAGCCAGCACCGGGGCTCCCCGGGGCCCCAACACCCTGCCCAGGCCCCGCTCCCCTTCTTCCTCCCAGGTCTCCCCGTGGGGCACGTTTGTGGGGACCTGGGAGATGCCGCCGCGGATCCCCCCGGCCCGGCTGAACCTGACGTCCCGCTCGGCCGCCGCCGCCGGGCGCCTCACCGACTGGATCCACCGTCCCACCACCCTGACCCACGCCTGCAACGGCATCCGCACCCACGTCACCGGGAAGGTCAGTGCCCCCCCACGGGGTCCATCTCCCAGGGTGGCTCCATGAGCTGGCACAATCCAGGCTGGTCCCCAGGCTGGGGAGGGTTAGCAGATTTCAGGGCTGTTTGGTAAAACAGTGCCCAGTGCTTGGGCCACCATCCCCCCCTGCTCATGGATCGGGGCTCCCCCTGCTTCACCCCAAATCCGGGCTGGTCTCCCCCGGGGCCACCGCTGCGCCGGCAGGAGGAGCTCACAAGCTGCCATTCTCCTCCCGGAGAAAAGCGTCTGAGAACAGGGGCTGCCCTGAATTGGGGAGCGGGGATGGTTGTTCCTGGAGCCCCCAGCACCCCTTTCCCACTCCCTGCTTCTCCCCGGGGACCTGCTTCGTCCCCATGTAGAGCAGCCCCTGCCCCAAGTGTCCCCCCTCCCCATCTCTGCACCCTGAGAGTGGCACAAGATCTCCCTCTCGCAGCCCCAGCCGGACGCGCAGACCACCAAGGAGCCCCCCCGAAGGAGCAGCCGGGCACCCGCCGAGGGCGTCCAGCAGCCGGAGGAGCCGCCTGGCCCCGGGGCAGGACCCACCGACCCGCTCTCCCAGCAGTCCAGCCGCACGGGGGTCCGGCTGGAGGGGGACACGTCCCCACAGCCCCCAGCCCCACACCGCCCTTGCTCCCAGCAGGACAAGCTCAGGGGACAAACTCCGTGCTCCCACCAGCCTGCTGTGACAGACCCCCAACACGGGAACCCCGGGTCACCCCAAATCCCAGCCTCGGTGCCCCCAGGGACCAGCCCTGGGCAAACTGCCCCGACTCGGGTCCCCACTGCCAGCCCGGGGGGCAAATCCCCAGGGCTCAGGGCATCACGGGCATGAGAGTCAGGCGGCCATCGAGCCCACGGCTCCTGCCCCCTCCCACAAACCACCCGCCCCTGGGGACACACGGAAACCACTTTCCCACCCAAGGGTGAGGGGCGGGGGGAGAGCATCAAAGAGGCCGACACTGGGTCAGCACCACTTGTGTTTTCATAGCAATTAGAAAAATACAGGTTTTAAAACAGTAACTCCTGGTGTTTGGTTTCGGTAGCTCAGGGCAGAGTTCGGGGGGGTCTGTGCCATGTTTGGGTGTTGGACACGGTGCCACCTCCGGGCTGTGTCTCAGCTCAGCCCATTTTACAGCCTTTTGTGCTGGAAAGGAGGGATCAGCCGCGGGGCTGGGGGCGCCAACGCCTCCCCCCGCCAGCAGGAATCCCACCGCCGCAGGGTGGTCTCACCCATTCCTCAACCAGTCTCCTGTCGGGGGGGGAGCGGGTCTGTCCCCCTTTGGGGCCACGGCGCAGCCCCCTCCCACCGTGCACGGAAGGGAAATAAATTCTGTGAAGCGCAGCTGAGAGACACAGCAAAGTCTAACTTCGTTAGCAGCTGGCACGCACCACAGAATAGCTCATTAGCGAGCAGAAGCGGGTTCCAAATAAAAGCCATTTCAGCAACTGCAGGAAGTAATTGGTTTAAAGCTAAAATACATTCATTTTCACCCAGGAGAAGCTCTCTCCTGCTGGGGGAAGCGGCTCCATTGAGCAGGAGTCGGCAGTGAGTCTCTTCCCTCTGCCTCGCTGACAGCAGACGGCTTTTCCTCCTCTGTGATTTCTCATCTCCGAGGCTCTGCGTCCCCCCGGGGCTGCGATGCCTCCCGCTAATTAAAGGAGTGGCAGATTTGTGGGGTCCAGCAGCGGAGCCGAGCGGGCGGGAGGGACGGGGCTGGGATTGGTGGCAGACGGAAGAGCAATCGCACGGAAAGGAGCCTGGGCAGTGCCAGGGATCCCAGGGAGCAGCATTGGACCCGCTCCCCTCCTGCCACTTCGGGTCTCCATCAACAGCCCCGTGAGGGGAGCAGATGTTCCCTGTAAAGCCGACGTCCTGCCGGCTGATGATGGGAACGGGAAGGAGGATCCTTCCTGAAACAGAGCCCAGACTCTCACTAGGACAGAGCTCCTGACGGGGAGCGTCCCCTTTGCAAAGCTTTGCTCCTGGTGGCAAACATTAAAAATTGGCCAATTTGAGCAAAAATCTCCCAGGCCTCAGGCGATCATTTGTACCAGAGCAAACCACCGCAGCCCAGGTAGGAAATTCCTTCCTGTGGGGCTGGCAGCGTTTCAGACGGCTCGGCCCCAGCAGCTCCAAAGGTCGGGCACCTCACCTGCCTCCAAACCCAGCAAACAGCTTGTTTTTCCATCGCTCAGCGACTCCCCAGACCTCAGAAAACACCCCCTTCCCAGCCGACTTCGAAGTGTTGGGCAAACAGAGGACAAACTCCGCAGCTCAGCGTGAAGGATCAAGGCTGCTTTATTGCAAAGGTGACAAGTGACAAGTGCTGAAACGAGAGCTGGTGGCAACACGCGGCCGGAAAACCACGACCCTCCTGTCATGCCAGAAACAGAGGAACTTCCTAACGGGGGAAAATGGGATGTTTTTCACTGGCAGGGGCTTCAGGGCCCCAAATGGCGCTGAATCACGGCGCTTCAAGGACAAGGAGTGGGGACTGAGCCTCGCCTCGCCAGGCTCGGGAAGCGCAGGGTCCCAGCGTGGCACCCATGTCCCATTCCCCTCCCGGGTGCCGGCGTTGGCAGCTCCGCCTGCTCTCCCTGCCCGGGCACGGGCTGCCTCAATGGAGACGCTTGTCCTGCGCCGAGCCTACACACGCTTCCAGCCGTCCCCGAGCCCACTCGGGCCCACGGGGACACAGATCCAGCATTGTCTCAAGCTTGGGGACAGAGCAGAGAAAAGAAACGCCCTGGAGTTGGCCTGGAAGAAGCGAGGCAGCTTCTGCGAGTGATTAAATGTGCTGGGATCGGCTGTTAATTCGTGCCTGGCTTTCCGTGGCTGCTCGGGCGTGCAGCACGGCAGGACAGAGCTCAGTCTGTCCCCCCACCCCAGCTAACAGGGGGGTCAGCACATCAGCTGGGACAACTAAAAGCAACTCTGATCATCCACGAGATTCACAAGGAGGGGAAGGGCCACCTTCCCCAGAGGGTTGCAGTTACACAGGAGCCTGCTCTCCCGCCTCCCTCGCCACGCATGTCTTGGGGTGGGCCAGGACGGAGCAAATCTTCCAAAAACCAGGGAGGCCATCGACAGGGAGGCACCTTCACATCGCCGCGAGGCCGGCGGAGGAGAGCAGGGTCAAGACCAGGACCAGCACCCCAGACTGGTTGACCTGGGGGATCTTGAACCCCTTCCCCAAGTCCCACGCCTGCAGGAGAGAAAAGACACAACAGCGTTAATTCAGCAGGGCTGGGACGGTCCTTCATGGGGAATGTGCACGAAAGCACCGTTTCTCTGATAAAATCTTGCAAAACTGCCCCAAAATACAGCCTTTGGACCACTGGCTACAGAGTGGAGGGAGGGCAGCAAGTGCCCACCGCTGCAGGGTGTCCCTGGGCACTGGCACACGTGCTCCGTGCCCGGGGAAGCTGATCCCCCGCCAGCCCCCCCGTCCCTCAGCTCTGAGCTCTCCCTAATCCCCGGCAGCCGCAGCGCCAGGTTCACTTCAAACGTGGCAGCTGCTCCGCGCCTGCTTCTCTCCTGCTGACAGAAATAGGTTAGAAAGCAGAGCCGCAGATCTGAGGCAGCGCCAACATCCCCAGGGAGAGAGCCCAGCGGCTGGGGACGAGCCACAGCCCCCCACGCTCCCCCACATCCCTGGGGTACGGTGGGAGCCGTGGGGGCCAGGCCGAGCCCCGAGGGCAGGGAGGGAAGCTGGAGCAGTGCCCGGAGCTCAGCTCCAGGTGGGTTTGCCCCCCTCACTGACTTTGGCCAAGCCAAAGCAGGGTGGCCAAGGGCAACCTGGGGAGTGCCGGCCTCCTCCCAGCCGGCCCCAGGGCTCAAAGGAGAGGAGCACCTGGGGCAGAGGCACTAAATCCAACCTGCTCCCCGTTGATTCCCCTTCTGCCATCGACGGGCTGCGCTGCCGGGGGCCAAAGCTGCTGGTTTCCTTCTCAGACAATTTAATTGGCATCCTAATAGATACGTGCAGTCAGAGACTTCAGCACGCGTTCGGCTCATGACGCGCTGAACCAGCAGCCGCTTCTGACGGCCCCGTTTGCCTGACGGCGTCTCCACGAGCCAGCGGGGCTCAGCCCTGTGCTCCGAGACCCCTCCGACTGCGAGCGCTTGGGAAGCGGATAATGAGCACCCACAGCCCCGAGGACTCGCAGAGAGGGCTCCCCTCACAGCACAAGGCTGTTGTTCACCCCAACAGCTCAACTGGGCACCTCCCAGCGCTCTGACACGAGCAGCTCGTCAGGGCCGCTCTCGGGGACAGGATGCAACATCCCACAGTGCCCAAACCCTGTGTTTCCAGGCTGGGAACTCTGGAAGCCGTCGGCGCCTGCGGCACGATCCCAGGTCTGCAGTGCGGCTCCGCACGTGATGCTCCCCCCGCCCCGAGCAGGAGGATCGTGTCACGCTCTGGGCCAGCTGCCTTACCAATTTGCTCCTGTAAAAACTAACCTCTCTGGAGCTACAGAAAACACAAAATCAACTACAGAAAGCGGCACATCTTGTACTGTTCCCAGCAAGGAGCTCTCAGCCCCACAGCTCCCTCTCCTTCGTCAAACACAGGAAGCCCGGCTGAAGGGAGCTGCTTGTTCCACACTTCAGCCCAGGGCAAACATCACAAGTTACTTTCTGCGCCGGCAGCACCATCCCCAACCCTCCACCACACGTCTCCTGGGCTCATGACATGCTATAAAGCACTTGGAAGAATCACAGTGCGAGGGCTGCGTGACAAGGGTGAGACAACGAGCCACAGGTGGCAGCTCTGCAGGGCTCCAGCCCGCAGCTCTGCGGATCATCCCCATCTCTGGGGCTGCTCCTGCCACCCCTCATCCCTCTCCTGCAGCCGAGGGGACATCGGGGACGCTTCAGCCAGCTGTGTCGCCTGGTGCAGCGCCAGCAGCGCCAGCATTGCAATGCTCTTTGCAACTTAAATGTACCCAAAACCAGCACCCAGGTTCTGAAGTACTTGGGGTGACTAATTCCCCGTTTCCAAGGGCACCTTCCCTCCCCTCACGCCCACTGCCCCTCACAGGGGCTACTCACAAGGTGTCGGACTCCGTTCCAGGTGTGGTAGGTGAAGGGAAAAGCCAGAGCAAACTTAGCGGAGTAGATGAGAGCGGGCCCCAGGCTGAGCGACTTCACCATGGCCAGGTAGTGAGGGAACTGTTCCGGGAGCAGCAGAGCAGCCAGACCAAAGAGGGAGACCCCTGAGAAAGACAGAGCCCACGGATCAGGACAGAAGAAAGCTTTCCAACCCCTCACCACCTGCAACGAGCCCCAGGCCACCTCTGCGTCTCTGGTTTGGTGACACCATCAGCTTATGGTGGCCTGCGGAGGAGGGAGAAGGGCTCTGCCGGTCTGGTGGCAGTGCCAGCTGCATTGTGACAATGTGCCCTGGGGTGCTTAGGACTCAAACTGGGGCAGTGACACCCTGAATCTGGGTCCTGCATTACTCACACAACACCCAGAGACCAAACTGGCCCGAGCTCATGCAATTGCAGCCAAACCAGCCCAAATTCAAGGTTAAAGGGACAATGAGGTTCATGAATGTAAGGTGGCAGGTCTTCAACGAAGTCCCCAGATCCACATCTTGGGACAGAAATCCCTCCATCGCCTGCCACTGGCATGGCAGCGATGTGGCAGGGCCACCTTGGCAAGGAGCAGCAGAGGAACCGGCAGACAGAGACAGCCCGACAGGAGCGGCTGCTCTGGCTGCAGGAGCCGCCGCAGCTTCTCCTCCTCGTTTCTAGGCCAAGAGGAGCTGCTCCAGATGGTGCTGCCAAAAGAAGGGGAGCGGTGGCAGCCAGCAGCCAGCCCGGTCGCGATGCGCCCCGCGCTCAATAGCGCCTGATTGCACTGCAGCACACCAGCTCCAGCGCCGCGGCCGGCGCTGGCAGCACCAGCTGCTTCCTCCCTCAGCCACTTGTCTCCTCAACAGCCTTTGTGCTCGCCCTGCGAGAAGCACAGGAAGTCAGAGGCTCCTGTAATTACAGGCCTTGACGGAGAGGAGTTGAACACTTCCCCCCCCCCGCTCGGCAGAAGCGATGTTCCTGCCTGCTCCACCGGGAAGGGGGTGGTTTCCCCTCCAGCAGAGGCTGATGGATCGGAGCAGAAAGGCAACACTGAACCTGTCAGCTCGGCCCATCTGATGGCAAGCGGGATGGGGACTGCAGCCATGGGGCCGGGCACGTCCCGAGCTGCTGGAGACAAGATCCCAGAGCTGTGAGGTGCCAGCTCGGCTGCCCTGGATCTGTGCACAGGATCTGTGCACAGAGCAGGGCACGCGGCCACCCCGAAGTTGGGCTCGCAGGGTGCACACAATGTCACCTCACATGGAGAACCCCACCTCTTCTGCAGAAAACACGTGTCGCTCCTCACGAGGCAGAGCTGGGCACGAGCCTGGCTCACCCGGGATCTGCCGTGGGGGTATGGAGGCAGGAGGGCACGTGGGTGCCCTTTTCCAGGAGCCCAGCTCCCAAGCCCTCGGAGGAGGCCGTGCCAGGAAGGGTAAGCTGCAGCCCTCGCTGCTCCCTCTCGCTCTGCCACAGGAGGAACACGAATCCTTCATCCTGCACATCCTTTCTCAGTCCCTTCACTCTCTGCCCTTCTGCAAACACCAACCCAGCTCCTCCCCTCGACAGGGAGCTACCAGAGAAGCACCTTCCCGCTGCCATGAGAGGGCATTAATGGAAATAGAACAGCCTTTCACAGTTAGACGTCCTATGGCTTGCAAGTTGAATTGCTGGAGGGAGTTTATCGGGTTTGATGCTGGCACTGCCTTATCCCCCACTGGGATCTCTGGGAAAGCAGCAGCCGCTCCCAGGAAACTGAAAAACTTCACCTGTGCTATGGAAAATCCTCTTAGCCCTGTCTGTTTGTCCGTCTGTCTGTCCCTCACACGGGATAAACCAGCAGAGAATAGCCAGGGAATACATAGGGCTGAGAACTGGAGCAGCCGATTGTCCTTTTCCAGGCTGGAGAAGGCCTCAAAGAAAGCAGCCAGGCCAAGAGCTGCCAAGGCTTCAAAGGCTCTTACGTACAGGGGAGCATCGTTCCCTCTGCGGGACGGGAGCCACTCACAGCACAAGAGGGTCCAGGGACAGAGAAATGGGGACAGGGAGATGTTCAGGGCACAGAGAGAGCAGAGGACAAAGTGCAGGTTTCCAGGGGAAAACCCACTGCTGAAGCCGGGGGACAGAGGAGAGAAAATGTCCCTCTGGAGTCATGTCTCCAAACCAGTCAGAAGGATTTTCCCTCCCACCCTCCCTCCCCACGAGCGGGTGGGAGAAGCACCAACCTAAGCTCAGGGCAACGCCGGTGCCGCGGTGCGTGATGGACATCGCCATGGGCAGGGACCACCTGAAAAACAACCAACCTCGTCAGCAAAACCGGGCACAACACCAGGGAGGGGGACAAAGTCTATTCCTAGACAGCTCTGTGCTGCTGGGCGGGTGTTTCTGCTCTCGGAGTTATTCAAGGAATCCAGCCAGAGCAAAAGGGGAGAGACGGGGGAATTTGCAGAGGCAGCTTGGGAATGGCAAATGCCACTGGCACGGGTTTGGGAAGGGGAAGGGCGTCTGCTGAGAAAGCTTAAAGGGAGATGAAACAGGAGAGGACTGTCCTAATGCTCCTGCAGTTGAGGAACAAAGGGCCACCTCCATCCAGGCAGTGATGGAGGTGGCCTCAAAGAAACCGTCACCTTTCTGAGGAGGGAACCGGAGAATCCCGAGTTGGCCTCCTGCCTCCTCCCCGAGGATTGTCCCCACAGCGCGACCAGACAGCTGCCTTTCAACAAAACCCTGCCCTGAACCCCAAGGCGCAGCTCTGGGAGGACTGTACCCCTCCACAACACCCTGCAAGGAGTGTCATCACCTCCCCAGGGGAGGCTACGACTCCCACACACAGCTCAGACTGTTCACAGTGCAATTTAGAGGATCCCTGCCTGAAGTGACAGTAGGAACGTGCACATCCCTCCCCACCAAGGAGCCTGTGGGGATGGGGCTGTCGCACAGCAGAGCCCAGAGCTGTTCAGTGCGAAGCCAAGGGGACCAAGAGGCTCTTACTTGTAAATGGTGACATGAGGGGACAAGGGACGGTTGGACTTGGTGTTCTTCTCCCAGAAACGTGCCATCTCCTCCTTGGCCGTGGTTCCCATCGGGACAACACTGCAAAAGAAGAGGAGAGGGGAGGTGTGGGGAGAGGGGCAGGGGTTTACCCCCGCCTGCTCCAGCAGCTTTCCCTCGGGCAGGAGGTGAGCTCCCTCCTGACCTCGACGACAGAAGGGCTCCAGCTGCGCGGGGACACGGGTGGGGAGCGATCGCTGCCAGCCCTCCCTCCCCAGGGAATTATAATAATAACAATAACATGCAGGATGGGAAGCTGCTGTGCTGGAATCCTCTCAGCCGGCGGAGCCCAGCCCCCCTCAGCCCCCCCCCTCCCCAGATCGGGGTTACGATATCAGATAACGCATTAAATAAAGCTGATAACATGCAACCTGCTCTTTACTGCCACGGTAATTGCACACTGTACCAAATAAAGAGCTTGTAATTTAATGTTCCCGAGATTACACAGCAATTACACTTACAGCCCAATTTAGCAGAAAATAACTATTTCTCCCTAAACCCGGCAGAAAGAAGCACAGGAATAAGAGGGTGTCTGTGGCTCCCAGCCCTCCTTGTGTGCAGAGCTGTCACACAGAGGGGTGAAAGGGGTACTGCCCCCCCCATGAGACCCAGGCCCACCTCGGCAGCCAGCCAGGCTCCCCTCTGTCCCCGTTCACAAGCCCCAGCCCCCCCATAAATAGCCTGTGCCCTCGTGGTGGCACGAGGCGGTCAGTGCCCGGCCAACACATGGCACTGATTGACCAGAACTACTAAGGGGACGGAGCAGACGCCGCAGAGCCTTAGACCGGATCCCTCGGGCAAGAACTTAATCCCGTTACTCTCAACAAAAGCTGGGACTCACTGTCGCACAGAGAGGCCAGGGCCGAGCCGAGCCAGCAGGCAGCGCCGACCAACACATCTGCAAGAGAGAAGGCAGAAAGGCTTTGTGAGTGCCAAATGAATGCCTGAAAACACTGGCAAGATGGGGCTGGGGAGGGGATTCACCACTTAGGGCTATCTTAAAATCACTGTCAACATGAGAGGATCTGGGCTGTTCCTCGACAAAGCTTCTCTCTCCTCCATCGAGCTCTTAACTAGAGTCTCTAGACTCTGCCCGGGGGTTCGTTCTTTACGACACCCTGTAATTAGTCTGCTCAGCTGTAATACCTTGTTTGTAAGACAGACACAAACAGCACTCTGAGCTCACAGCTACGCTGAGGCAGTCCATTTGTCACTCTCACTACAGCAATTATCAGGGCGGGCAGCACACGTCCCCAAAAAGGCACATCTGCCCAGCTCCATGGAAAGGGCTGGCTCAGGGCACCGCTCCCCGTGTGTCCGGGATGGAGACATCCCCTCCCCTGCCTCCAGACACTTGTTTTCATTACAGCATTTCACCACCACCATCAGTTAAGCTCCGAGCACTGGCGAGACGGGAGGCTGCTGCCGCAGCCCGGCACATTTCAGCCACACCGAGGCTCGGGGCGGGAGGGAAAAAGGGATTTTGTGTTGCCCCAAGGAGTGGGTGCTGCTCTCTGCGCAGCGATTGTAGTAGCCGCGACTCTGACATTCAAGGGCATCTCTCCAGGGCCGGGGAGGAACAGGCCCCTGGCCCAGCGCGGCTCCAGCGTTTGCAGATGTGGGCTGGAATCTGCGGCGCCCGGACAAAGCCCTTCCTGACGGCACCACGGGAACAAGGTGTGTTACAGCGTTTGGCCCGCTCATCTGCAGCACAGCGGCAAACTCTAATTAATCTTCCCAAACGCACAAGCATCTGTACCAGCATCTCCCGCTGTTTCATTAACAGCGGGAGATAAACAAAGCTCTGCTGCTCTTCAGTTGTCCTACAGCCGGTCCCAAGGACGCGGTAGGAAAAACATCTGGAGGTCAGCTCTTCACCAGGTGTAAATGCAAAACAAAAGTCATTATTATTAACCACTCCGAGTTCCTGTGTAAATGATCGTTAGGATGTTTCCTTTCAAAATCCTCCCTCGCATTCAAAAGCTGGACTTGAAACACAGCAGGTTTTTAGGAAAGCGTCCCGGCTGGAGGCATGAATTTTCGGCAATGCGGAATCCACCCCATGCTGCAGTGCAACGTTTCTGATTGAAAACCCTCCTTTGAACCATTTCTAGTTTATCAACGCCCTCCCCAAAGAGCGGCCTGGCAGCGAGACTGAGAGATCGAGGGGGACACGGCTGAGCCCACCCAAACCTCCACCTCACCATCAGGGCCGAGAGCAGCCGACAGCGGATCCCAGGAGAAAACTCTCAGGAGACACAGGGGAGCAGCCCCCACCAGCTCACGCACGTCCCAGGCCAGAGGGTTGTCAAACAAAGGGCATCGACACCCCCCGACCCCCCCAGCTCTCAGCACAGATTCTCACAGCTCAACCAGACCCAGAGAATCTGCTCCCTGCTTGTCCCGAGCCCCCACGGACCAGCACCAGCCACCACCTCCTGGTTCCTGGGTAGGGGAGAGGAGGTGAGCGATAAATCTCTACCCGAAGTCCATTAATCATTTATACCCCTCGCCCGTGCCCCGCTCAGTCCTCTTTTCCAGATTAAAAGGCCCAACCTACTTCATCTCTCTCCGTACAGAAACCACTCAACACCTCTTCTGGGGGGGCTGGGGTGGTGGAAGAGGGAGAGCTGGCTCCAAATCACACACAATATTCAAAACAAGAACAAAATCCACAACGCATTTGCATTTTTTCAAAGCTAAACTCCCCAGCAAGAACTCCCCATCCTCTTGGCTCAATTTTAATATATTTTTTTGGTTTTTTTAGATGCAAAGCATTACATCTTGCCTCAGCGCAACGACTACGGTTTGCAAAACACAGCCCTCCAGCTAAGCAATCAAGGTCACTCTGTACCAAGGACCTGTCCTCTTCATTATTTATCATTCTCTAAGTTGTTACATCTTCTCCAGCTCTCTCTCCATTAACTTGCATTTTCTTCCAGATCACTGATAAATATGTTTTTTTAAAATAGAAGAATTAGCCCTAAAAGAGGATCCTCCGGACCCCGCTGAGAGCTGCCCCCAGCCAGCTCCAAGTGGGTGCAAAGGCTCGGGGGACCCCCCGGATGGTGCTGGTTATCGGGGACACGGCACCGCGCAGCCGCTCGGGAAGGGCTGGAGAAGGACAAGTGCAAAGTGGCAGCTCTAACGAGACGCCTATAATCGCCCCAAATGAGATGTCTACAAACGCCCAGCAGCAGAAGGGCACCGGCTGCGCAGACCCCCCCCCGGCTCTGAGAAGGAGAGTTTGGGGACTCGCGGGGGACAGCTCTGAGGCTCCGCGTCACATCAAGAGACGTCGTTAACATTTATCCCGCAGGACAGGTCTATAAAAATCACTCAGATTTTGCCCCGGAGGAGGCAAATGAGAAGTGATTATGTATGCTTTTTCATCTGACAAGCAGACGCAGACAGGCGATGAAGGTGTCAGGCGCAGGCTGAGCCAGAGCCAGCGACGTCTCTCTTGTTTTCCAAGCAGCGGCGGCGGGGCGCCCACGCCAGCAGGTACCGGGGGCTCCCCCCCCGCTGCCGGCACATCCTGCCTTTAAACAACCCCCCCCCCCACGCCACAAAGAGCTTTCCACAAAAGCATGATGGCTCCGACTGCCGCTAGAAAGAGAATATATTAAGAGAATGAAATCCCTAACACCGTCTCCGGGCCGATATCAAAGAGAAGGTGGGGAACGGGGGGGGCTGGGAGGGAGATGGTCACAGCCTCGAGGAGGCACAAAACCTTCCCGTGGGGGTGGTGGAGGGGAAGAGGCCCCTTCAGGTCAGGAGAACACAACGCCCTTCCCCATCACTGCCCGGCCACGGCGGGACACGCTCCCTCCCGCACGGCACCGCTGACATCCTACGGGACCACCGGCACCCCGTCGGGTGGCCCTGACGGTTGGGGGGCACCCCCAGCACCGGTTGGGGGGTAACGTGGACATCTGCCCACCCAGAGCCACGGGAGGGAGGGAGGGACGGGTAGGGACGGGCCTGCCCCGCTCGGAGCACTGAGCCGCCCCCCCGGCCCCGCACTTTGCCGTTCGCGCCCCGGGGCTCGCTGTGCCGGTGCCGCCGCCCGGGGGAAGGGGCGATGCCTCACCAGCTCCCTGCGGCCGCGGGGGCTCTGCAGGGACACGGGCCTTAAACACACCGCGGGGCGCGGCGGCGCCGCCAGAGCCCCGGGGGAACGGCCGCGCCCGAGGGAGCGGGGACCGGAAGGCGACCGGAGGGGGACCGGGGGGACCTGGGCCCAGGGGCTGTCGCGGGTGGGGCGGCGCGGCCCGTCCCCGCACCGGGGGCCGTTACCCACGGCCGGGCCGGGGGCAGGAACCCGTCCCGGGAGGGGGCACCCCGCGGCCCGGCCCGCCCGGGGCTCCGTGCGCGGCTCCGGTCCCGCGACGCGCCCCCTCCCCCCTCCCCGCCGGGCTCTCCCCGGCCCCGCCGGGACGGGACGGGACGGGAGTATCGCGCAGCCCTTCCCGGGGCGGCGGGTCCTGCCACGACACCCGGCCCGGCCCTCCCGGGAGTCACCTCAACGCCAGCGCCGCCATCTTGGAGCGCCCCGCACGCCGGAAGCGGCCGTGACGCACTTCCGCCCCCACCGCCGGGGGCTGCCCGTTACTCCCGGGGTCGCCCGTTACCCCCCGTTACCTTCCCCGGGGCCGCCCGTTAACCCTCGTTACCCTCCCCGGGGCTGCGTGATACCCCCTCGGGGCTGTCCGTTAACCCCCGTTACCCTCCCCGGGGCTGTGCGTAGCCCCCCGGGGCTGCTCGTTAACCCCCGGTATCCCCAGGGCTGCGTGATACCCCCCCGGGGCTGTTCGTTACCCCCCCGTTACCCACCTCCTAGAGCTGCCCGTTACCGGTGTCCCCCCCAGAGCTGCCGGGGGGCAGGGCAGGGGCTCCCCGGTTCCCTGGGCCCACTGGGACCCTCTCACCCACCGCCACAGCCGGTGGCGGAGGTTGAGGCAGGAAAATGCCCTGTCCCCCACCGTCACCTCTCTGGACCAAAAGCCTTCTGAGGAAAACCCCACTTTGGAGCATTTCACCCCAAAACGCCATCCGCTCCTCACGGCAGCCCGAGGGTCACGGTGTCAATTCCCACCCCGGGCTCTGTGTGGTGGGGGGTTGCACGGTGGTGGCCCCCCCGTGGGGATGGACGGACCCCTCGTCCCACAGCTACATGCCCTGGGGGGGACTGGCCAGCATCACCCTCTCAAAGCTGCCTTTTCACCCCAAAATGGAACCGGAGCAGAGGCTGCTGGGAAGGCTCTTGGCCGGAGCTGGCGGTGCCCGCAGGGCCCCATGCAGCCCAGGGACAGCACCGGGGGGTGCCGGCAGCCAGCCCCGTGGCCATGGGACAGGAGGGGACGCACCGGTGTCCCCCGGCATGGCCACCGTGAGACCCCAGACCCCACCAGGCGGGTCCATCCCTGGGACCGACCAGGGGCCGGTGTCCTCCAGCTCCAGCCGCATTCCTGCCGAGCCGCCTCCGCCACGGACGGGAATGCGGCCGGACAAAGGGCGCTGTGTGCCCGTGTCCCCCCCCCGTCCCCCCGCTTCCCCCTCCTCGCCCATCCCCAAACTAAATGTCCCCTTTCAGCCCGGGGCACCCGGCACCCCCTGGCCCCCACCGCCCCGGCTGCCCGGCGCCCATTGGCCCGAGGCCGGGGCGCCGCCGGCATCATTCGGCGCTGCTTGCTCTTAAACCTCGGCCCCCGTCCCGCCGGCACCCTTCGGCACCCCGCCGGGCCCCGCGCACCCCCAGCCCTCCATGCAGCTTGGAGCCGGCCGGTGACAGGGCAGCCACCATGTCGCAGGGCGCCGGGGGCAGCGGCAGCCGCCTCCTCCTCCTCACCGGGCTCCTCTTGGCGCTGGGTAAGATGGGGATGGGGAAACAGGGATCCTGGTCCTGGATGCTGGGGGGGACCGGGGGGCTCCAGACCCCTGGGAGGTGGCCGTGGGGCTGGCGGCCACCCACACATCTCCTCTCGGGACCATCACCGGTGCTGGCAAGGCTCTGGGGACATATCTGTTGTCATGCCCCGGTTCCTGTCACCAGACTGCAAGGAGAGTCCTGGCACCAGCCACCTCCCTGGGGATGGGAGAGGGGTCCTGGGTGCCAGACCCAGCCCCGCGGGGTCCCCAGGCATCAGCTGGCACCAGGACACGGTCCCCATGCAGCCGGCCGCGGGGATGCCGGGGCGGAGGCTCCCCGTGATGGCACAAAGAGCCGCTGTCCCCCGCCAGCCCTTGTGCTTTCTCCAGGGACAACAAAAGCCCTTTGGTGGTGGCACGGGGCTGGCGTGGGGACTCAGACCGGCTGGGGGCCCCGGTGATGGGGGTCCCCCGTGGTGCTGACGGGTTTGTGCCCCCTGGCAGGGCTGTCCCCGACATCGTCCATCCACGTGTACACGCAGCGGGAGGTGCACGGCACCGTCGGCTCCCACGTCACCCTCTCCTGCAGCTTCTGGTCCAGCGAGTGGATCTCTGAGGACATCTCCATCACCTGGCACTTCCAAGCTGAGGGCTCCCGCGACAGCATCTCCGTAAGCGCCCGCTCTGCTCCGGGGTGTGGGGTGGCCCTGCTGTGCCCGCAGCCACCGTGACCCCCTCCCCCGTGTCCGTGTGTCTGTCCCCATCGCTAGATATTCCACTTCGCCAAAGGCCAGCCCTACATCGATGATGTGGGCAGCTTCAAGGAGCGGATGGAGTGGGTGGGCAACCCCCGCCGCAAGGACGGCTCCATCGTCATCCACAACCTGGACTACACCGACAACGGCACCTTCACCTGCGACGTCAAGAACCCCCCCGACATCGTGGGCAAATCCTCCCAGGTCACGCTCTACGTCTTCGAGAAAGGTATGGCATGCTGACGGACCCCTCCCTGCCTCAGTTTCCCCGCTCTGGATGGGGGGGGCTGACAGGTCACCTTTTTTCCCCCCAGTGCCCACCCGCTACGGTGTTGTCCTGGGCTCCATCATCGGTGGGGCTCTGCTGCTGGTGGCCGTGGTGGTGGCCCTCGTCTATCTCATCCGCTACTGCTGGCTGCGGAGGCAGGTGGCCCTGCAACGACGGCTGAGGTGAGCCCCGCCACCCGATATCGGGGTGAAAACACCCTGAAATGGGATGCTGGGTGAGACCGGGGGTGGGGGTTTGCCTCTGAGCTGCGTTTTTCTCTTGCCACCCTAATTTTAGTGCCATGGAGAAGGGGAAGCTGCAGCGATCAGCCAAAGACGCGTCCAAGCGCAGCCGGCAGGTGAGCACTGAGGGGTCGGGGGGGCAAAACGCCCTGGCCGGGGGGGGGCAAGTCCCTCTCCAGCCTGTCGGGGGGGAGGAGAGGCTGTGGGGTGGGGGGACCAACGCTGCCCCGTCCCCGCAGGCGCCCGTGCTCTACGCCATGCTGGACCACAGCCGCAGCACCAAGGCAGCGAGCGAGAAGAAAGCCAAGGGAGCCCCGGGAGACTCCCGCAAGGATAAGAAATAGCGGTTAGCAGGCAGGGAAGGTACCGGGGGGGCGGGCGCCGGGGCCTCCCGGCCCCCTAAAGTCGTCATGACCATCGAGATGGAGCTGCGGAGGGAGGAGGCCGAGGCCGCCCGCCCCCCGCCCGCCGTCCGCTCCCCCAGCAAGGGCAGCCTCAAGAGCGCCCTGATGCACATCATCAAGCCCAACTCGGGGACCTGACGCCCGGCCGCCGGCGGAGGGGAGGGGGGGCCGGGACACGCCGCCCCCACCCCCCCCCTTCACCCCCGTCTCCATAAAGCGGCCGCCCCGGGGCGCGGGACCCGGCGAGGAGCGGGGTGTGGTCCT